TATGTAGTAATTGCAGCATGCAATTCCTTTTACTTGGTTCATCTTACTAACTAACAGAACAGAATTTCACTGAATTCATAATATTGCTCTGGGACTGGTACATACTGTATATTTACACACCAATATGTTTTATGGAAGTGAACACATTTCTTCTCAGGAGCATATTTTCAAACTTCAATTGCTCTTTACTGAAGCCAATTTTTTTCAAACAAAAAATGCAATGCGTTTCATGTCTATATATTTTTATTCACGCCAATATATTTTCACAGTTGGATAGATTTAACTAAATTAGTAGTTACAGTATTTGTTCAAACCAATGCAGTTTTGCTGGCATCTGGTAAGTAAATGTTATCCAATTTTATTTATTTATTTATTTATTTTAGGAATCAGCTTCAACCAAACCCACATCATTTAAAACAACAGCAACTCACTTACACCATACACAGTTTCTTACTCAAAACAAACAAAACCCCAACTCTTCTGTTTCAGCTGCAGAAGTACACTGAAGGGGTAACGTAAAACACAAAAACCCAGACTTCAGTCAAGACCCTCTGATTCCCACCTAAGCCCATAAGGGTGCATGGGGCAGGGGAGTGCACCTGCTGTGATGATACACATTGTCTTCTGGGGAAGGACCATTCTGCCACTTTCAGGTAGGAGGGGGCAAATACAAGGATAAAGGTCTTGCCAGTGCTAGAGATGGCTGTCACCCAACCAAGTGTTCTTTAAAGCTAGGTGGCAGCTCCATGGGTGTTTTGTCACAACATTTTTGTACCAAGCATGGAAAAACGCCTCACTTTCCAAATTACTATTTTAAATGTGATTGTGAGTGTTTAGCAGTGTTGCGAGTTGGGACAGAAACTCTCGATCTATCTTCTGCCGCTAATAGCTTGTCTTTTCCATGCATTATTTCCTGTGGGGCTTTACAGTTCTTGATGGAACTCTGCAATCATATTCGGCTACTTCTTCACTACCCTCTGGAGTATTCAAAATTTACTTAAAATATATATACTATAGAAGATGACACAGAGCAAGTATGTCAATAGATATGTTTCACAGCTTGTAATAACGGAAAATTCTCTCCCCTTAAATTCTCTCTCCATCTTCCACTCTTTACTGAATTCAACAGAATCACAAGGTTCTGTCAAATAAATAAGCCTTCCTCAGCTATTATTTTCTTTCTGTAATCTGGTGGTCAGGTGATGCTACCAAGAAGCACTGATGTAATTAAAATCATGGCTGTCCCTTCAGATTTTGCTTGCTATGTTTCTTTTAAGACAAACTCTAGAGGCAGACTGACCCACTAGAGCACAGGTGGCTCCTTCTAGAGGAGGTAGAGTGCAGCTTTTCAGACAGAAGCCTGAAGTCCAGGTGATTGTGTGAAAAAAGTGTACAAGCAAAAGGGAGCATGCAGCAGAGGAAGAGGTGAAGCAGTTTAGTGATCTGACCTGTCTATTGGGGCTCCACACAGTTTCATCAATTGTTCACTGATACCTGTGATAAATATTCCATCTAAGAAGGGACAAGTGGGAAATAATTGAGAGGAAGCAAGTCAGATGATGGCTGCTGTGCTAGATGAAGGGTTTGTCTGCTAGCTTTTGAGTGAACACAACCAAAAAATTTAAAAACAAAAGAAAAAAAAAGTGTGGGGTAGAAGAATAAAAGATGCTATGCTCAAAGTGCAGAGGAAGCTGGACAACTGGCTGTTTAGCAATTCAGTGGGAAGAAGAACTTGCTGACTCTTTCTGAGCAATGCTTGCAGACTAAATTATTTTGCATTGTTTAGTATTGGAAGTATTCGTATGCATCACCTTCATGGATATCAGGATAAAGCAATTCTTTTTTTTTTCTGGTTCTAATAAAATGTTTATTGTCTTACCTTCTGAAGCACAGGAGGTTCCATCTGAACACGAGGGAGCACTTCTTTCTACGAGGGTGACAGAGCACTGGAACAGGTTGCCCAGAGAGGCTAGGGAGTCTCCTTCTGTGGAGATACTCAAACCCTGCCTGGATGCCATCCTGCGCAACGTGTTCTAGGTGATCCTGCTCGGCAGGGGGCTTAGACTAGATGATCTTCAGAGGTCCCTGCCAACCTCAGCCACTGTGTGATTCTGTGCATCTGCTTTTCAGGGCTGACCTCCTGTTGTTTTATTAGGTATTAGGGTATTACTTTTTACTCTGTTCTGTGGTGTATGTCCCTAATAGTCCCTGCTGCCCTTTTGGTCATGTAAGGAGGCTTCTGGCCACTGCATGCATGAGCTCCATCTTCACAGATCAGTTACAAGATTCTGTCCGACAGATGTCAGGTTTACACAGGAGCTGCCATGGAATGCTATAGGACACTGTGATGACATATTTTGAAGTTCTAACAATATTAATCATAATGTTTCATTTGGTCAAATAAACCAGGTGCTTCTGTTTGGGATTTTTTCTGGTTCTGGAAATGGAAAAGCTCACTTTATCTTGCCCAGTACAAGGAATTGATGCTCTCCTCCATTGCAGTGGTTTATTGGTGGGAACCAAACACCGGTTTTATTTTCCTAATGCTTAGTAAAGACTTCTGCTGCATGACGAAGAGGAGTGATGCGATCCCCCCCACTGTGAACCAGCTTCCAGTCCCCCTTCCTTGTCTCTAGCTTATTTCAGAACCGTTTGAGCCAGAACAGAAAGGTGAGAATCAGCATTTCTGGTCATGCTTCTGTCGGAGTTACTGGCTTCTGGGAGGAAAATGTCAGCTGGTGTTTCTAAACACACAGATCAGCTTTTCCAAATGTGCTCATGTGGCAAAGACTTGGAACCCTTGTGATGCACAGACAGGTGCTTAATCCCTGCATCTGTCAGGGGACCTCTCTTCACGGTTTCTAATCTCCAAGCCGGGAAGACACTTGTATCTTTCCTGTACTGCTTCCTGGAACAAGACTGCAATCAAATCTACGTTTTGTCAAAAGCACTGAGCTGTCAATTATCACCATTATTGCAAAGGCACTTCAGGTTGGATTACAGTCCTGTATTAGTGAAGGGTTGAAAAATACTTATTTTGTCTTTTTTTTTTTTTTTTTTAAAGTTTCCTCCACCAAAACATAGTACAAGTTTTGAGCCTTTGTTGACATTTTTAGTACTGCCTTAAAAATGAGTTGTTCCTTTCTGCAAGACATCTAAAATATTTTGAGAACCATTTCCCGTTCATTCCTGCTTTACATGGTTCGAATCCTAACAACAGCAGTAAAATCGTAACTTTTGCCATTGTGCATTTGTTTCGGTGGTAATAAAAATCAAGTAAAGCAAGTACCTCTTCATCAGCTAGAGACAGTTACTTCAGTACTTCTCTGCCCCTGGGGACATTTCTGTGCAACACCTTTGACAGTGTTCAGGTAACCCACTAAGGGCACGGAGATGTATGCGATGTGGATTTCAGACATAATCATATGAACTACACAACTTTTGTATTTGAAATGTAATTCTGTAATTTGATTATGTACTGTACAGACATCTTTTGGAGACAGAGGAACTCAATGTAAATCCTGCTGCAGTCTCCTGTTGCTAGGCATAGTCATTACTTGCTAACGAACCAAGTGGAAGATACGACTACAGAATACATGCCTTCCCAGGTCCCAGACTAGTGCAAGGTCTGTAAGGTAAAGTTGACTACTGTTAGCACTTCCTGAATGATCTGAGACCATGCACCCCCCAGAAAAAAAAGAGTTTTTAAAGTTTCCTCTCCCATGGGTACTTAAGACTGTTTCATTGCTTTGTTATGTCAGTAGAGCTCTTTGGTGACAAAGAATGGGAGGTGAAGGCTGAAGTTTGGAGAGGTACGATGCAAAACATACTGCATTGCAATGGAGAGCAAATCTCAACAGAAAAAACGATGATCCAGAAGCAGAGAAATACGTGATTATCTCAAGCACTTGGGTGCAGTGGAATCCTGCTTTCTCTGTGAAGAGGCACGGTGATTTCCCTGATAAATGTTTACAGGGCAGTCCAGCAACTTCAGCAGAACATGTTTTTCTGATTTCATGAAGAGGTTTTGGCAAAAGGTAAGTGACCCTGTGCTAAGTGGCACGTAAGGTATGAAGGAAGTAGCCTGCCATCTTGGGTTTCCTACATTCAGTGCCTTGTCTGTCAGTGAGCGGTCCTCCTGCCTGAAGGCTGCAAACCCTGCCAAAGCAAGCCCTCAGATAAAAACCGTGTTCCAAGCCAGAGTGGTGGTAACACAGCCAAGCGTCCGGAAAGTTTCTTACTGCCATTGTCTGGGTACAAGTGTTTTATTTCTACTGCGGTGGCGGTACACGGACAGACGTTCTTTACAGAGGCTCGAGTCTAGCTCCGAAGGCGCGGGAGACCCGGCCAGGGAGGCAGAAGGAGAAGCAGAGGGAGGTGACGGTGCTTCACGCCTCCCCCGGAGGGACAGCAGGCGACATGGCCGGCTCCTCCCCGGCTGCCTGGCTCCGCCGGGTGCTCCCCCAGGCTTCCCCCCGCCACGAGGCGGAGGAGCCGGAGCCGCAGCGTGTGTGCGGCCCGAGCAGCCCGCGGCAGCTGCCCGCCTCCCGACGCTGCCTCCTCAGCCCGGCGGCCGCGCTCCTTGTCGCGCGGCGCTAACGGCCGCTAACGGTCGCGACAACGGCCCGCGGAACGGCCGCGCGGCGAGGCCACGCCCCCACCGGGGGCTCCCCGCTCCCTGGCCCTCAACCGCGTGCGCCGCCGGTTCAGGACCGGCTCTGGACAGCGCCCCACGGCCCGCCCCCGCCTCCCATTGGCTGGCAGCCGCCGCGGGGTCGCGGGGGCTCCTCGCGATTGGCCGAGCCGGCTGCCGCTCAGCGGAGCGGGAGGCGGGGCCCGGCGGGCGGGGGCCGTGCCGAGCCGTGACGCGCTGCGGGGCGTGGCCGAGGCGGCTCGGAGGGGCGGGCCGGCGGCGCTGGGTGGGCCGGGGTGTGGCGCGGGGGGCGGGGAGAGGGGCGGGGCTTCCCGCCGAAAGGGGGCGGGGCGAGCGGGGCGGGGGCGGGGCGAGGCGAGGGGAGGCTGGCGAGCAGAGAGTGCCCTTGTGTCGCCAGCCGGCGAGCGGCTGGGAGCGAGCAGCCGCCCCGCGCCGCCAGCGGGACGGGACGGGACAGCCCGGGACGGGACGGGGCAGCGCAGCGCAGCACGGCGCGGGACAGGCCGGGCCGGGCCGCAGGGGCAGCCGGACCGACCCCGCGGTAGGGGCGAGGGGAGCCAGCGGGGGCAGCCGGCAGCGCTCGGCGGGGGGAAGCAGCCCGGCGGCGGCGGCGGCAGCGGCAGAGCCGGCGGGGAGAGCCGCTCCCCCCCCCTTCCCTCCCCAATCCACCCCCGCGACCCCGGCCCTCCTCCTCCTCCTCCTCCTCCTCCTCACCCCACTGGATACAGCGAGGGAGACACTGCGGCGGCGGAGGCGGCGGCGGCGGCGGCTCCTGCGGGGGGAAGGAAGCGCCCGGAGAGCGGAGCGGCGGGAGGCTGCGGATCTGCGTGCCTGGCGCCCACCCAGCCCGAGGGGAGCCCCCAGGATGCGGCTCAAGCCCGGCGCGCTCCTGCGCCTCTACAGCCTCTGCGGGATCCTCATGCAAGGTAACCGCCTCCTCCGCACCCCTCGGCGGGGACCCCGCGGGGCTCCCCTCAGCCCCCCCCAACCCCAGCGGCCGCCCCCTTGCAGCGTCGCCCCCCGCGCTGCCCGCCCGGCAGGGGCAGGGGCAGGGGCTCCGCGCCCCGCTCCGTGCCGCCGCCGCGGCCGTACAGGGGCGCCTATGGAGCCCTCCAGCCCCTCCAGAGCTCGGCGCGGGTGTGCGTGCAGCGCGTGTGCGCCGAGAGCAGGGAGCCAGCCCGGAGCTGCTCGACGCCCCGCTCCGAGCCGCTGTCCTCCCGCAGCGAGTTTCCAGACTCGCCGTGTAGCCCTCGTCCCTCCTCCTCCTCCTCCTCCTGCGCCTCCCCTCCCGCCGCACCGCCGCCGCCGCTCCGCTTAATTAACACGAGCGAAAGGGAACAACCGCTGCGGCCGCGGCGGAGGGGAACCCGCGGAGCACCATTATCATGCAAATGACTGGCGTGTGCGGCCGGGGGAGGCCCCCCGTGCACCCCCCGGCACCCCCTCAGCCCCCCCCGGAGCTCCCCCGGTGCTGCCGGGCAGAGTTTCCCCGCCCGGGGGGCGGCGCAGCCCCCCCTGCCCCCGCCGCCCTCCTGAGGGGCCGGGGCGGGGCGAGGGGCGGCGGGGGGGGGGGGGGGGTTGGGAGGGGGGGCGTTGAAACGGAGCGACCTTGCGGGGTTTTTTGCGTCCCCTGGGCTCCGCGTCGAGTTGGGCACGGGGCTGGGCTGCGGGGAGAGGGGCGCGGGGGGGCCTCGGCGCTGTCACCTCGCCGTGAAGTGAGCGGCCCTTTGGGGGGGGGGGACCGAGGGGGCTCGGCAGCGGGCAGCGCCGGCTTCCCGGGGCAGGTGGTGTCGGTAATGCTTTACCGGCGGTGCCGAGTTGCCCTGCACGTCACCGCACAAGGAGCCGCTGTGTCGGTGCCATCCGAGATTATTTATCGGGGCATGTGCGGCGGGCTGCACCTGGGGGCTGGCTCCTCTCGGCCTTTTACATTTCCCTGTGAATTGTCGATTCATTGCCCTGCGAAGGAAGGAGGGGGGGGTGGTGGTGGTTGGAGGGGGTGGGAGGGTGGGGGGACGCGTCTGGACTGACTTTCTGTCACCAATAAAATCAGGGCTGCTGCTGGAGGAGGAGGATTTGATCTTTCCTAAGATGCAATCAACTGCATTCAGCGCATCACATTTTTTAAGAGTAAACCGGTGATTAAAAACGGTGATGCCTTTCACAGCAGTTTAGGGAGTGTGCCAGGGAAAATGTAACTCCGTGAACTGCATCAGGTAAAAAACATGTTGCGAGGAAAGGGAGGTAATACGCATCTGACTCTGCGAAAATAACCAGATTGGGCCTGTCCTTGCAGATGGGGAAAGGCTATGTTTAACGTGTTCCTCAGCTTGCCCTCTGCGTGTATAAAATGTCTCCTCCTTTTTAGTTTCTCACACAATTATTTTTCCTCAGCTCCTGATTAAAACTGCAGTCAAAATCAGGGAGACTTGGGCAGTCTCTATACCTCTCTTTAGCCGAGCGCTGTTTCGGGGAGCAGTTTTACTGGGCACTATTTAACAAATATAAGAAACCTGTCACTCTCAGACTAGAGTGAGAGGAAATAATTTCTTCTATCCTCCTCTCCTTTGAAAGTAAGGGAGAATGGAGGAAGAAACGAGTGAACATTTTCCAGGAGAAACCTGCCCTGAATAGTGACTGTGTCTAACTGAATATCAAATTCCTTTGGTCCACCTTACAGTGCTGCTTCATAAATGGTGTTTACTCAGTTTCTGCCATTTATTTTGGCACGACCAGCGGACACAATTACCATATTAGACACATTTCTAGTTGGCGCTTTCATACCTACATTTAGAAGTAGTTTCTCCTGTTGGCTTACTTTGCTTCCCCAAACTGTTTTGAAGGGGCTCAATGGATTTGTTAGATTCCTCCTTTTTCTGCTTGTAGGCTGTGGGATGCACGGGTTTTCCGTCAGCTCTGTACATGAATAAGATCGTTGTTCCAAGGATTCGGAGCGCTCCTGGGTTGTGACTAAGGATGGCTGCCGGTAGCGAAAGTGAAGCTAATCGAGTTTAAAGGCAATGTGACAAAGAGCCAAGCTAACGTGTATCCTATCTGGAAGTGTGTCTTTTTGGCATGGTCTGTTAAGAGCCAGGCTTAAGGAATCTGCCCTGAGAGTTGATGCAGCATCAGCTGAGGGAAGAGGACATAGAATAATGCTTCTCAGCTTGTGCGTGGAATAGCATTAACAGCAAGCAGTCCCTTCTGAACGGAGGCAAACAGAAGTAAAAGAACCTAGTGTCAGCTGCTTGCTGTGAAAGGGGCGCGATGGAGGTGGAAGGGGGAGTAATAACATGTTGAGCTGAGAAGTGGCTTGTCAGCTGAGTTCGGGTATGGTATTAGTCTGCTCTACCCTCTCCAGCATTTGCTGTGAAAATAGTAGGATCTCTGGCTGCTGTTGTTCCTAGCTTGTGCACTGTAATGATTCTGAAGTACTTAAACTGCTTCCCAAGGGGTTAAACTGTTATGTATGTTTACAGTCATACCTGCTTTTTTGTTTCATTCAGTTTTTTTTTTCACTTCTCAGATTTAGTGTGCCTTACATAAAATTTAACAGTTGGAGAACAGCATGTATTTAGAAGAACTTTAGTACATCATCTGCAATGCTTTTATGCAACCTGGAAAATAAGCTGTTTATTGTAAGGAGTTACAATGTGAGAAACTATAATATTTAAAAATAGTTTTGTTGAATTCCTGGTATACAGATATGGGTTAAGATTATCCTGGAATTGTAGCTGCTATAGCCCCCTGCTGTGTGATAATGCAAATGGCATCTAATGCTCTAATGTGCTCTGTTTTTCGGAAGATCGTGGATAGTGCTGTGTGTGTTAGCAAATGATGCGCTTTCAGTTCTCTGCCAACACGGGGAAATTTTTTTCAGTATGGTTTCTTCAGGCACTTCAAATACTTGCAACCTGTCTGCTAATGAAAATAATGTAGGGACACTTTAATTTGTCTGAAACTGTGATCACTGATGCAACAAATCGGTGAAGACGTAATTGCTCATGGGTGAGACTTGTTTCATAAGCCTAGATCCATTACAAATAGGAGGAAAAAAATAACAAGTATGCACATGGCTATTTCTTAGATCGTTTGAGCTGATTTAAGACACTGTCGTGATACATCACTCTGTTTCTTGCACAGCTAGTCCCTATTTCGAATTTTCACTAGGATTTCTGTTAGAAAAATCTTGGCAGTAATACTGATGTTCTACGAGAATGTAGATGGTTACAGTATAGAAGGAAGTGGCTTTGGAGGAGGTTGATACAATCTGTAGTTGGAGTATTTTACATGCAATTTAAAGCATAGAATGTATAACTCTGCTTGATAGTGACGGTCTTTATATGGCTTACATCAATCTAACCAAAGCCTGGTAGGCATATGAGCTGTCTAGGTCCCAGGTTAGCTCGTATTTTATGACTTTTCTGATTTATATATATATTAATACTCGTCATATAGCCCTGCTGAACAGTTCTAGAAACAGAAGTAACTTATCACATGAACTCCCGCTGATGATCCTCACACAACATCTCTGAGAAATACATGACCAGAGGTCTCTTACACTCATGGGATTTATCAAGTTTCTATCATAAATTCAGCAGTAAGCAGTAGCTCCAGAAAAATGCTGATACGGAGGAAAACCTCCATTGAAACAAATACCTTTTTTTTGTCATGTCACCATTTATAGTTATGTCTCACTTTTTGACTTCAGAAACTTAAGACATTGAACATCCCTCTGCTCTTATATTTGCGTATTGGTTGTAATTCCCTAATTATGCACTATAAATGCCTCCAAGTCATGGTTTATACAGGCCTTAGTGCTTGTATTTTAGCCTTACCTCACAAAACAGGTGTTGAATGTGATTGTGCTTACTCTCTCCACCAAAGAATTAGTGTTTTTATGTTGCTATACGAAGTCAAGATCTCGATTTTTTTATTTTATTTTTTTTTTCCACTTATGCATCACGAGTGTTGGTTAAGAAACTGATAGCAACTCTGTATATGGCAAACACAGATGGATGTGAGGTAGTTGCCAAGAGAATAGCACCGTAGCCAGAATGTGCTTGACTGTTAGAACAATGATTCCTCCTTCAACTAATATCTTAACAGTAGAAAGAGAAGGTTCTCTAATTGTCCTCTTAATTTAATGCCTTTTCAGAGATAGAAGGAATGCGTCCATTTTTGTTGTTAAAATATGAGCCTGATGACAGGCTAATACCATTAGAGGCTTTGAAAAGAATGGAGGGTCCTCTCCAGAGAGAATGCCACTAACATGCTTTATAAAATACATGTTCCAAAACAAATGTGGAATGGTAAAACTATTAGACATAGTTTACTAGTTTAGTAAGTGTCTCCTCTGGGATTGCGTCAATATTAAGTATGAGCTTAATGAGCATATCCCTCTCTTCTTTCCACGGAATTCTTGAGGTCTATTTGAGAGGAAGAAAGAAAAAGTGGCAAGGAGTAGCTTGTGAAACAGTGATTTATTTATTTATTTTTTCCACAGTAATCTGCCCTTGAACAACTTATCTTTTTACAGAATGACAACATTGGAAGTATTCTGAAAATAAATAAGTATTTTGAAAAATGTATGTGGGTGGCTTTGCAAGAGTTCTTTATTTTGTTTCCTCTGAACCTGTTTCAGGATTTTTTCCTTTCATTTATATAAATGCAAATTAAAGAGAAGGTCCAAGTGTTTACAGTTCCTCTTACTTTAATGCACAATTAGCTCAGGACGGATGCTTTATGCATCCGTACTGAGGAGACTGTCGTTAATAGCATATGACATTGTGTACTGCATCTTCTAGTGCTCTGTTTTAGTACTGTTTTGTGTGTAGGGCTTTCTAATGTGGAAAATTTAGAACAGGCAAAAAAAATTTAGAGAAGAATGTAGGTAGTTATTTTTGCTGTAGATGAACTGGAAGGC